TCAGACTCCCAGCCTCAGCCCCGTCTGGATCTCAGACTCCCAGCCTCCAGGACCGGGATCAATAAATGTCTATTATTGAAGCCGCCCCCCGGGGCTATTTTTTCGGCCGCCCGAGCCGACTCCCTCAGCCTAGTCTCCAGGAAAGCAATGCATGGTGACGCTGGGTGAGTGTTCAAGGCTGTCCCCACCACCAGCCGTGTCTGCATTGTGAGTCCTAGGGCCGAAGGATGGGGGCCACTGTCTGTTGCATGCAGGGACCAGGAGTGCGGGGTCCTGTCTGGACCCTGGCACGGATGCCTGGTGACTCCGGAGGTGGGAGCCGAGGGCAGGTGTAGGCTCTGTAAGTACCCACCCTCAAGACAGGCCACCCTGCGGAGGGAGCCAGGGGAGGGCTGGACGCACACTTGTCATCTTGGGGCATCCAGCAGGGTGGACAGAATTAGAACTCAGGACCCCAGGCCCCTGCTGGAAATTAGCTGCCCCCTCTGCCAACTCCTAACTTGTCCTGAACTTGCTGCATTCATCCGCTTCGATGCTCTCCGAAGAGACCGACAAGAACCGCGGTGTACAGGCTGTGTCGCTGAGGCACGGAAAACAAATGTGTGTGTTTCTGCATTTTGAACGGGGCTCAGCATCCCCTGGAGGGACGTGGCGGTGTCTCGGCACGGGCGGGTGGAGAGGCCCAGGCGGGACACATGAGTGGCTGAGCACCAGGCCTGGGACTTTGGCATTTTCATAGAGTCTCCAACTGCCCTTCTCACGGCATTGACCCAACGACATGCCCATTAACCCCTCGGGGCACCCCGTTTCTTCTGCACGTCTTCAAACAAGTAAGACTCCTTTTTCTCTTGGTGTGCATGCCCACGGCCATCCTTGATGCGACAGCTCTTCTCCCTGAGCCTTGTGCAGATGGCGGGAGTCTGGAGACATGTCTGCGCCGAGTTTTCTGCACTCCTGGAGGGTGCACGGGGGAGGCGGGGCCCTCCATGCTCTCTGACAGTTGTCATCACGTCCCCTCATTCCTGCCTTGTACCTCCCTGCCTCCTTCCCTCCGTCCTGTGGGATGGTGGTGGCAAGCCCTGAGCCCATATCTCAATGAAAAATATCTCGCTGTGTATTTTTAAGCCACCAGGGTGTGTTTCCAGAAGTAACCCCAGGGTCATTATCTGGAAATACGCAGACACCAATAAAAGGGGTTCAGTGTACTCAGTCCTAAATTGGGCACTGGCCTGCTTTCTTTCCCGCGTTTCGGTGATCTATCCCCGATCTCTGGCCACCAGCCACAGATGGCACCCGGCCCCTTCCCGGAGACGCTGCGAGTCTTCTCCGTTGGGAGCAACGCTTTGCCTCCGGCGGCAGTCCCCTCCCCCCTTTGCATAAGTCTCACCTTTGCCCTTTGGTTCGGTGGTTCCCGCTTCCAGGAGGACAGATCTGAGCTGTCAATGTTTGCCGCAGGGACAATTTGCGAGCTCGTCCCTCGCCGCCCGCGGCTGCACGTCGGCCGCCTCGCCTTGCTCGGGATGGAGCTAGGTGGCCCGCGCTGTCCTCCCCAGGCCACACCCTTCATGGAGACCCCCGCCGCCGGGGAAGCTGCAAGGGGAAGGCAGCTCGTCCACCCCGCGCAGACCTGCAGACCAGAGCCCACGTGTCCGCCTGGACCACGGCTCTCGGACCCGTCGGTTTCGAAGCCCGGCCCTCGGTGACCTTAATCCTTAAAAACCCCCAGGGAAATAGCGTGTGATTACCCGGGAGTGATATGCCTTCTACACACTAGCCAGACCCCGCGACCAGCCATGCCCACGCCGCCGGCCGGACCGGCTGTGCGTTGCGTCAGCACAACAGGCCGGCTTCCCCAAGACGTGGGTCCTCGTCTCCCTGCCACGGGGATGCTCACCCGCACCCGTTTGCCCTCAGCCCCCCACCCCTGCTCCGTGAGGGACGCACCAAGCCCCACCCCCGTTTCCCCCCCATCCCGATTCCCCCCTGCGGTAGGATCACGCCAAAGCCCCTGCCCTACTGATGCGAGAAACGTCCGACTTACTGGGCAGCGAGCTTTCCGGAACGTTCTCGGACCGTTGCAGCACGTTTGGAAGGCGCTGTCTTGCCCGGCTGGTTGGCAGCGCTGGAGGCCGCCTTCCCCAGGACGGCACTGAATGGCGGTCCCCGAGGGCACCAGCAGAAGGAGCCTGGCCGAGAGCCTCCTGCGTACGGACACCCACCCACAGTTCCCGCTCAGGTCAGCGTTTGTAGAGACGCCTTATCTGCCATCCGCTGGGTCCTGCTTCTCAATGAGCGGCCGGCCCGCGTTATCGCCCCGCCGGACAGGAAACGTTCCAACCCAGCTCGCCGTCTGTCTCAAGCTCGAAGCCGGCCCCTTGCTTTTATCAGCATCGTGTGGGGTTCCTCTTTTTTTTTTTTTTTTTTTTTCCAGCAGAATGTCTCTGTCCACTTGCCACCTGTTCCCTTTGGGGTGGTCAGGGTTTCTGTGCTCTGTGTCATGTTCTGGAGACTTCTGGTCCCCGTGTCTGCGCTCACGCACGCTCCCCTCCATTTGCCGGAAGGCGAGCCCTTCCTACGCACTCAGCTGTGCTCCATGTCCTGCGTGATTCTGGTCCTAGCTCGTGTCCCCGAGGCTCCCCCGGGCGGGGATGCAAACCTCCAACGCTTCTCCTCGGAGGGGAGGACTCCTTGCCACTGTGGGAGCCTGTGCCTTCCTTCTTCCCTGACCACCTTAGTCCGTGGAGCCTGGATGGACGGATCCAGTGGGAGAGCTCGGGAAGTGCTTGCTTCCTTGTACTAGCAGGGTTATTACACCCCCGGCGCTCTTAGGAATGGGGACAACCATTCCCTGCGTTTCTCCTCCCTCAGAAATGGTGTCCTTTTCTCATGAGATGTGTGTATCGCATTGTTTGCTCTTCTCAAAGACCACTTCATCCTGCGGTGTAGACAAGAGATATCCCAGAGACGCCTCGTGAACGGAGTGCGTGGCTAGAAAGACAGCTCTTGGGATGCCTATGCTCTGGAACGCCTTGTCTTCGTTGGGTCTACAAAGTCCAAACCATGTCCCTGGGTAGGGAATGGGTTAGCATTTGATGAGTGACATGATCCCCCATGGCCTTATGCAATAGTTACACTCCTGCTGTTTACTCTAGGAGCAGGTGACTCACTCCCAAACCCAGAAGCAAGTGGGAGGTTTGTAGAAAAGCAGGAGTGTTGGCGGGAGGGGTCTCTCTTTGCTTTGATTTGAAAGGGAAAGGGCCTCCTGCCTGTAGATTCAATATGGCGCCCTCTCCAGCCAGATCCCTGGTTGTGGGGAAGAAAGACCCCCACGCGGGCACCCGCAAAGCCGAACGGGCAGTCGGGACCTGCCCGGGTGGGAAGGAAAGGGGGTCTGAACTCCTCAGCCACCCTGTTATTCTATCAAGACCAGCGATATGGATGGCAGATCTAGCCGAGTCTGGTGTCGTCCGTGGCGTTGGTGATGGCGGAATGGAGAAAACGATGACAAAGTGCTTGCTGTTGCAGGGCTGACGTTCCAGGGCAGAGCATGGCCACGAGGAGGGGACTTGTCAGGGATGGTGGGGACGCCGAATGCACAGGAGCGAGTCAGGAAACGGGGGTCTGCCGGAGCAGGGGTGTGCACTCCCGGCTACACCTGTTAGGGCGCTCTGACCAGGTCTTACCCAGTAGGACACGGTCGAACAGGTGCACTGGTGAATCAAGGGAGCCCGTGGGAGATTCGGGGGCATAGGAGGCACTGGTGCAAAAGCCTTGGGGCAGGGAAGACCTCGGGGTGTGCGGGTCTGGAAGGTTCTGGAAACAGCAAACCATCAGGAGTGCAGAGGGCGGGGGACGGTGCAGGCTGGCAGGTCCTTCTGAGCTTCGTGGGAGTCTGGGCTGTGGGTCACGTGGTCTAGTCTTATCCACCCCGACCCCCACAAATTCGCCGTGGACGTCTCGACCACGGGCACAGGCCGGCAGCAGGAAAAGGAAGCACAGCTGATGCCCACCCTCGGCGGATAATTGAGGAATGATGGCAGCTTGCCATCGCTTGGTTGGTCGGCATGGAGGCCAGGAGAACGGACACCCTTTGGCAAAACCATCTGATGCCTCAGACATGGCCGGAGGGCACAGAATACGGACCCTGAGCGCGGTGCGCTCTTGGCGGGGATGACCTCGACGCTCCCCAGCACAGAATGGGCAAACCAGAACACTTTACAATTATTTAATGATTCAAAACTCCCCTAACCATTGTAAGAGTTATTAATTGTTCAGAAATCGGGCCACCCCTCACACCACACGGGTTTGAAACGCCTGGGTCCACTTACATGCAGATTTTTTTTTTCTTTTTTTCCAGCGAATACACGACAGGACCCCGAATGTATTTTCTCTTCCTTATGATGCTCTTCACCCCGTTTGCTTTTCCCCAGCTTGTTTTATTGTTAAGAACACAGCCTATGTTACACAGAACACACAACACTGTGTTAATGGACTCTGCACATTATTATCGGTCAGGCTTAGGGCCAAGAGCAGGCTCCTCCTAATTAAGTGTTTGGAGGAGTCAAAAGTGATATGTGGGTTTTCCACCCCGCACAGGGTGGATGCCGCAATCCCGTTGTTTACGGGTCACCTGTGTGTCCCAAGTCCTGCGTAGCGTTGATGGGGTGACGTAGGTGTTCACCATCTGCACCGTGGACACGATCTCGCAGGGGTCTGCATAAATCACACAGTGTCACGCTTTACGTTTCAATCACGTGGAGAACATTCTATCTCTGCGATACCTCGTTAAGGTGCTCTTTAAAAAATTAAGCTTCTCGGTGGTCACCAACAGTCATGTCACATTGCTTACATGGAACGTGTACCTTTATTTTTTTGTTTTTAAGTGATCTCGACACCCGGCGTGGGGTTCGAACCCACAACCCCGAGATCAAGCGTTTGGGTGCTCTACGTACCGAGCCCGGCAGGTGCCCCCAAATCGGAACCCTTGTTAGAGGTGGAGAAGGAACATTGGTTGGGTGGGAACCACGTTGTTACTGGTTTTAGACACGATGTATGAAGGTGTGGGGTATGTGGCAAGAGGTGTTGGGGTCTTCTTCAAGTTTAACGGCCCCCCAGGTCCATACGTCAGCCTTTGAAAAGGTTATCATTGTAGGGGAAACGTCCAGCGTTGTTTGCAGAGTCGACACACTTGCTCACGCTCACCTGACCGAAGGCCGGCGATGCCCACCCCAGTGGACGTCCCCGGAGTCGTGAACCGCGGGACACGTTGAATTCCGAGGGATGCGAAGGTCTGCAGCTGCGTCTGTACCTGGCACTTCGGTGACGGCTCTGGGGACATGCCCCATGACGTGAGAGCAAGGTGACAGCCCTTGTGGGGTTCATGGGGACTGCTTGGGGGCTGTGCAGGGAGACAGAGCTTTGGGGTGGGGGGCCCACACGCTGTGTTAGCACGCTTCGTTCGTGCTAACCCCGGGTCCCGAAGCTCAGGGTGGGGACAGCCCAGGCCATCCGGGCAAACAGGCCTCCCCGCAGGACTCCGCGTCCCGCCCCACAAGGAGAACTCGGACAGCAGGGCGGTTGAGATACGGGGATGGTGAGTCAGGGCCTCCACATCCTGTCCCCCCCCCGGGGCCTGCCCAGCTGCCTCGGACGGACCGGGGTCCCCTGTGTGGCCCCTACATAACAGCAGATGTTCCTAACTTTGGGCCGGGCTCCGCGTGAGGGAGGGGGTCCCCGAGACCCTCAGATCCGCCTGGTCAGCTGGCTCTGCCCGCACGACGCGGGGGCTTCTGCTGGCAGCAAGCGGCGGGTGGGATTCCAGAATCTTCCGCCGCCTGCCGGGGTCTCCACGGAGAGACAGAGACACAAGAGCTGGGAACGTGTCCATGCACGTCGGAAGTGACTCGATTTGCACTGAGATCCACCCAAAAATGACACTTTCTGAGCTCACTCGCCTGTCCTACATCCCGTGCGTCCAAACCTAAAAGACAGAATCTTCCGAGACAACTTTTTTGCTTCAAACGACCGTGAGACACTTTATTTTCTGCTTTTCACCTAGCTTCTCCCTTCTGGGACTTTTATTGTTAATATTATTATTAGATTTCTTTTTTTTTTTTTTTTAAAGCAGTTTCAGTTTCCTAGAAACGCTGAGCAGAAAATGCAGGGTTCCCATGACCTTCCCAACCACCTCTTGCACTTCCCCGATTATGAACTTCTTGTTCTGGGCGGTACATTTGTTACATTTGTCACAGGTGATGTTGATACACTGTTACAAGCTGAGAGGTGCATTCTTGGCTACGATGCACTGGGGACAGACCCCCATGACGTCACACACCCTCGGTGACATCACATAGAAAGGTTTCCCTGTCCTCACCCATTGGCGTTAAAAGCAACGGGTCCCAGGTCTCAAAATTTTTATTTCTGAACTCCCAGCCTCTGAATCGGAAGGGAGAGGAGAGGCCCCCAGACTCGCTCCCCACGCAGCTTTCCTGGTCCCCCGTCTCCCCATCTCGCCATCTATGAAAACTATGAATACAGTGGCACCCTTCCTCTGGAGGACGTGCATGGGGACAAGGGGTACAGGTGCAGTTGGGGACAGATTGGGGCATTGGGGGCTCACCTGGTGGGGAAGGGAGTCCTCATTACAAGGCTGTAGTGGGTGGGATTTTCTCCCCCACAAAATATATGCCCATGTTCTAGCTCCTTGTACCTGGGAAGGGGACCTTATTTGGGAATAAGGTCTTTGCGATGTGATCAAGTGAAGGAGTTGAGATGAGCTCTTCCTGGATGAGGGTGGCCCTAAATCCAAGGACAGGTGTCCTTATAAGAGACAGAAGAGGAGACACAGACACAGACGAGAAGCCACATAAAGATGGAGGCAGAGACAGGAGGGACGTGGCCATAAACCCAGGGACGCCTGGAGCCCCAGAAGCTGGAAGAGGCAGGAAGGGCCCTACCCTGGAGTCTACCTAGGGAGCACGGTCTTGAGCCACCTGGATCCTGATCAGCAGCCCTGCCTGGATCTCAGCCTTCTGGTCTCCAGAGCTGGAGAGGATGTATGTGGGATGTTTTGAGCCCCCCCACCCCCTGGTTTGTGCTGCTTTGTTAGGAGCACCCTGGAAACTTGTCCAAACACCCCTGCCCAAACCCCAGCTGCCCTGCCTGCACATCTAGACTCAGATTATCTTCCACAGGATCCCTGTCTCCCTTATCCATGGCCAGCACTTGCCCTGCTTTCCTGGCCCCTCTCCCCCTGTCTGTGCAAAGGAAAGCACCCCCACTTGCCTCCCTGGCCTCCTGTGATCCCCCAGGGCATGCTCAGTTCTCCTGTTTCCTGGAGGAGATCTCCTCCCACCACAGGCAGAGAGCTTGCTCTCATATACAGGGCATTTTCTCATGCATCTGCAAGAACATGGGGTGCACCCCAGCTCGGTTCCCCTGATCTGTCAGCTGCTCACCCTGCTGCGTACCTTCCCCTGATGTTCTTGACAATGTGAGCCCACGGAAGCCGAGTGTGACCCCAGACTGTTTATCTCAGCAGCACAGGCTTCAGGGAGGCTTTCTCCCTAGAAGCGGGCGTGGCCCCCGCCTGTAAGGAGAAAGGGCTCCAAGGAGGAGCCCATCTAACCCCCAGGTTGCGACTGGTCCTCACAGCCTGCTGACCCCCTGAAGGTCTTCCTCCTGGACTCATCTGGGGGACAGAACTCCTACCCGGGTGGTCCGCTGACCCTAGTCCTCTTGGGCGTCCTCTGGGTAGGACCCAGAGCTGGGGTGAGACCCCCCCCCAGCATCCAGGTGGAGAGCTACTTCCAGGATCCCGTGTAGAGTGGGGTCTTAGGGTCCCTCTGCACCTGAAACGGCTTCTCCTGGAGTTTCATCCTGCCCCGACACTGCACCCATCTTCCAGTCGAGGACTTCACCAGGGGATCTTTCCTACGGGGTTATTCCAGGGACACTGAAAATGTCTCCTGAACAAAAGAAGTCTCTCCACCACCCCCCTCCCCCTGAGTTTAGACTCCTTTAAACCTCACAAAACCATCAACCCCTTACACCTGACAATGAAATGCAAGGAGCCTGGGAAGGTGGCTGCCAATTCATACTAAGGTGATAATGACTGATATCACAACCTCTCATAAATGCAGGCAGTCACTCTTTTATAGCAGTTAGGGGTTAGAGGGGAGGGTGTCATGGGAGGCAGAACGGGGAAGGAAAACAGGAACAGAAAGCAGAAAGGCTAAATACAATGTCTCTACTTCCCAATGTGATTTAGATTCTCCCGAATCCATTGTTTGCCGGCAGATAGTTTTGTTCACAGAAACCTGGTTTTTTGTTTTCTGTGCATAGAATCTTCTGGTCCCATCTGGGTCACTCCAGGACAAAATTTCAAAGTGCCTTGATGGTGCCGTCCGTGCTTCTACCCCTCACACTCCTGCATGGGCCCCTTGGGCGGCCAGCCATACTCTTGCCACGTGGAGGTCCTGTCTTCTGCTGTCGGCCTCCGTTGGGCTGGCATCTGTCATCCTGTAGGCCAGGTTGGTCCCTCAGGACTCTGGGCAGCATTTACTTTCCACGGACAATTCTTGGCCTGAAGCGACGCCCCCACGTGTGAAGGCGTGATGGTGTTTCATAGACATGAAGGAAGGGAAACAGGTTTCCTGCATCATGTGCATGATCTTACAGACGGACAGATGGACAAGACTCACTGGAAGTGCTTGTCGGAACCCATGAGGCAGGGGCAAGCTGGAACCACCTAGTACGCACCCGGGGAGCCCACGCTGAACACCCAGGAGAGGTCAGGGCTGCTGTCAGGCCATCGGACGACCTGCAACACGGGAGGCAACAAATGCTGTAAATCAATGCTTTCTTTTTTTTCTTTTCATTTCCTGGTGAGCTGACTGAGGTGAACCCCCGACACCTCTGAAGTGGGGTTCAGCAGCTGGGGGATCACTGCAGGCCCTGAGCATGTAATTTTGTTCCCTGAAACTTTATCAGGAGCAAATTGCAGAGCAAAGCTCCTGGGGTAGGGCCCCCCACCCTAGGCGGACCAACGTGATCACACAGGAGCCCCTTGGGAAGGCACAGGTGGTGGTGGTGGGGCACTACCATAGGGAGCAGGGTCCCATTGCCCTGGTGCGTGTCACCTGGGACATGCACAGGGGACCCACTGCAGAGCACATTGCAATGCATTCCCACTTGAAATGGTTCCATGAGGATCTGTTTGTGTGTTCACACAGATAGGTGACAAGCCCCCTGTTATTCAATCAAACACTCAGCTGGGGTGTTTTGCAAGTGGGACAAAAAAAACCCAAAAACCAAGAAAAACCAAATCCACAAGCAAAAAAAGAAAGAAAGAAAGAAAGAAAGAAAAAGAAAGAAAGAAAGAAAGAAAGAAAGAAAGAAAGAAAGAAAGAAAGAAAGAAAGAAA